TGCATGACCTAAGGCAAGTCTGGTGGTCCAACTGGTGTTTCTGTTGGCCTCTACAAACTCCAGATATTTTCAAAGCAGGTTCTAAATGATAAAGAAATAGAGAAGATTTTTTAAAATTGACTTTGTTCCTGTTTGGGCTCCATTTCCTCCTCTTTCTCTTGGGTATGATATAGATGCTTTCCATTTCCCACCAAGGCACTTCCTGTTGTAAATTCTCAACAATTAAAATCAAATCAAACTCAAACTCACTGCCACTGAGTCAATTCCAACTCACAGCAACCTGATCAGACACAGCAGAACCGCCCCCGGGGGTTCCGGAGACTGTAAGTCTTTTTCTTCTTTTTATAAAGAGACTGTAAATCTTTATGGGAGTGGAAGAAATTTCTCCCTAGAAACGTGAAATTTCTCTTATAGCTCAGATTTGAAATACCTCAAGAATTTCCACATGTGTCTATCTTCTTCCTTTATGTTGAAGTCTCACAGTTACTTTACTTCAGGGAATTTCATATGTTGTGGTATGTGCATAGAATTACCTTGTAGCTAGTCTGTCTGTCAAGACCAAAGCTTCTCAGTTCTTTTCTTTCAATTAGCAAGTGGTGGCCATTCGGTGGAAGTAGGAAAAGATCTATCTGACTCCTCCATAGGATGTATCTGGGCCACAGACCTGAGGCCAACTGGTTCCTGACCTCCAAGACCAAGAGTTAGGAGTGAAAAAATGAATCTAGTCTAATGCAGAGGAAGCCTTCAGCTATACTCCTAAAGTTTCACCACGATAATTGTTTGGGAGGGGTGCATATTTGGGGGGAATTGTTTGGGAGGGGTGCATATTTCCCATTTCTTTGGGAAAGGGGCGTTGATAATACGGTGACATAGATATTCATCACTAGCTAAACCACCAGGCAGCCCTAAGTTGTTAGTATTTGTGTTCTACAGAAAGGTACCTGAGAAACAATGGTCTGAGTTTTGTGCCATAACCCATCATTGATTGAATTAGCACAGTTGGTGTATGGGTGTATTTCTTTAAGAATGCCAGGGGGTGTAGTGGGTTACACATTGAGCTGCCAACAGAAGAGTCAATGGTTCGAACCCACTGAAGAAGAAAGATGAGGTGGTCTGCTTCTGTAAAGACTTGAAGCCTGAAAATCTCGAAGGGGGCAGTTCTGCGCTGTGCTATGCGGTCACTGTGATTTGGCATCGACTAGATGTCAGTGGGTTGGCTTTTGTCTTTTTCATTTTTTGTATTATGCATGCAATGGATACTTCTGGTAGAGAAATGAGCCAATTAAGGTGAGCATGAAGAAAGTCACATGTGATCCAAGCACCCAGCAATGACCATATTAATGTTGTTATATTTTCTTCAAAGTTCTTTTTTTTTAATCATTTTATTGGGGGCTCATGCTATTCTCATCACAATCCATACATATATCCATTGTGTTGAGCACATATGTACATTTGTTGCCGTCATCATTCTCAAAACATTTGCCTTCTACTTGAGCCCTTAATATCAGCTCCTCAATTTTCCCCTCCATCCCCCCTCCCCCCTCCCTCATGAACCCTTCATAATTCATAAATTAGTATTGTTTTGTCATATGTTACACTGTCCAACGTCTCCCCCCGCCCTCTTCTCTGCTGTCCATCTCCCAAGGAGGAGGCCATATGTAGATTCTTGTAATTGGTTCCCCGTTTCCACCCCACATTCCCTCCACCCTCCAGGCATCGCCACTCTCACCACTGATCCTGAAGAGATCATCTGTCCTGGATTCCCTGTGTTTCCAGTTGCTATCTGTACCAATGTATGTCCTCTGGTTAGCCAGATTTGTAAGGTAGAATTGGGATCATGATAGTGGGGGAGAGGAAGCATTTAAGAACTAAAGGAAAGTTATGTTTCATCGTTGCTACCCTGCACCCTGACTGGCTCTTTCCTCCCCACAACCCTTCAGTAAGGGGGTGTCCAGTTGCCTACCAATGGGCTTTGAGTCTCTACTCTGCACTCACCCACATTTACAAAGATATGATTTTTTTGTTCTTTGATGCTTGATACCTGATCCCTTCGACACCTCGTGATCACGCAGGCTGGTGTGCTTCTTCCATGTGGGCTTTGTCGCTTCCCTGCTAGATGGCCGCTTGTTTATCTTCAAGCCTTTAAGACCCCAGATGCTATATCTTTTGATAGCCGGGCACCATCAGCTTTCTTCATCACATTTGCTTATGCACATATTTTTCTTCAGCAATCATGTCGGGAAGGTGTGCATCACGGAATGCCAATTTAATAGAACAACGTGTTCTTGCATTGAGTAAGTGCTTGAGTGGAGGCCCAATGTCCATCTGCTCTCTTAACACTAAACCTATAAATATATGCACATAGCTCTATTTCCCCACTTCTAATTTATATATGTATGTATATGTAGAGATTACATACATGCAGATGAAAATGAAAACATGTATGCAACACATGTAACACCAACTGTGTTGCTGTCATTCTATGATTTTATACACACACAGAGATTTTTCCCTAAGTAAAACTATACTGATTCATAGTTTTCCACGTAATGAAATATTGCTAATATATTTTCCACTTTTTTAATATTTAAATGTTTATGTACATTTATTGTTATAGCATAATTTAAGCAGTCACTCCTTCTTTTCAGACATCTCTAAGCCAAACCAAGCTCACTGCTATTGAGTCAATGCCAACTCCTTGTGACCCAGTAGGACAGGGTAGAACTGCACCTGTGGGTTTTTGAGACTGTAACTCTTTTTGGAAGGAGAAAGCCTCTTTTTTCTCCCCTGGTGTGGCTGATGGTTTTGACCTGCCGACCTTTTGGTTAGCAGCCCAATGCTTCTGTTGTGTTAAATATTTACTGTACTAAATATTTATTTAATGAGGCTTCTCATCCATACACTTTAGTGCTTTCAATTGTTCTTAATTTCATTTCTGACAAGTCGACTTATGTTGGACTTATCATCAGGAGCATCCAGTCCCTGAGGAGGACAAGATGTTTGGCAAAGCAGAGGATCCGTGAGATAAAGTAGGACCCTCGGTGAGATGGAGTGACACAGTGGCTGGAACAGGGAGCTCAAACGTGGATTATGAGGAGAATGCAGGACTGGGCGGTGTTCCTTCTGTGGACATGGGGTTGCTATGCGTTGGAACCAACTCAATGGCACCCAACAAGAACAGGCACTACAAGTGGCATTGCTGGGTTAGGGCATCTGTCCAGGTTTAAGGTTCCGATACAAATCACTGAAGTCCTGCAGATGGAATGTGACGCTTTCCAACCTAGCACAGCCGAAGACTTTGATCCCCAGCTTTGGTGCAACAAAACTTTCCTCCCTTATTTCTGGGGGTTGATTTGGGGGTGAGAGTGGTACATACGTCTGAACCTGGGTGGGTTTGTTATTGGCAGACATACTTAGACCTTGGGAGCAAATCACTCTGGTCTTTATAAGAAACCTCAGTCAATGGCTTTCATTCACAAAGGGCCAGCATCCAAGAACATATTTCAGCTCTGGGTCCAATAGATTCAGGTCAATAATGAAATAAAAAGCAAGGCAGGAAAACAGACGTTTAAATGTTCATGAATTTTGATTTAGTGATCATTGGAAGAAAAATCAAAACATAACCTGAAAGACGATACTGGATCTCCATCCTAGTCTTTTTGCCACCTGGGATATGGTACACATACCTACTCACTGCCATTGAGTTGATTTCGACTCATAGTGACCCTATAGGACAGGGTAGAACTTCCCCTGTGGGTTTCTGAAAGTATAACTCTTTATGGAAGGAGAACGATGGTTTCCAATGGCTGACCTTGTTGTTAGTGGCCCAGTATGTAAACACTACACCACCAGTGGGTCCTAGGGATATAAATGGCATGTCCCTTTCTTTTTCTAATAACTGAGCATTTTTAAACTTTGGGGTGGATGGCTGAGGGAAAATATGATAGCTCACAGTTAACTCACATATGCTTACCATGGGCCTCTCCAGTCCTGTTTTTGTGAAATACCATCCAGTTGCTTCTGACTCATAGAAACCCTATCTACAACAGAACGAAACACTGCCCAGTCCCGTGCCACCCTCCCAATTCTTACCAAGCAGCTGTGGAATAGACCGACTCTGGTTCTGAGGCTGTACAAACCTCAGTGCAAACCCCTGTCCTGCCATTGACTGCCATTGACTGTTCCCTCAAGGAAGTTCCTTCTCCCGTTTAACCTCCCTCTCCTTGTCTGAAGGAGCCCTGATGGCAGGTTGGTTGATGCTTTGGGCTACAATCCGCAGTTCAAAACCACTAGCCACCAGAGAGAGATGGGGTTTTCTACTCCCGGAAAGTGTTACAGTCTTGGAAATCCACAGGAGCAATTCCACTCTGTCTTATAGGGTTGCTATGAGTCAGAATAGGCTGGTTGTCAGCAGGTTTTGAGGGTTCCCCACCCCCAATCTATAGTGATTCCAATCTCGTGTGGGTGTGGGGGGGTGGGTGCAATGAGCAGAAGAAACTAAGTCATTAAAGCAACTAAGGAAAGTATCCAACCCCATCAGAGTGCTCAACAAATGCCTGATGAACTAATGAATTTGCATCCTCAGAAACTTAACAGCTGAGGAGATGTTAGTTTATTTGTAATAGGGTCCTGCTTGCTCATCACTCTGTGGAGTTACATTGTTTATTTTTAATTTGCTGCTCGTTTTCTGTCACTCCACCACTGTATAGGGGCTTCAAAAAGTTCAAGGGAAAAAAGATATCATCATTTCATTCCATTTGCTTTTGAACTCTTCAAAGTCCCATCTTAAAATACCACCGGGGTAGAGAGTGGGTCTGGTTCCACCAACTAACTGCCTTGCCAGGGCCTAGAACAGTGTCTGGCACACAGAATTTAATCCCTGCATCAGTATTGGTCCTAAAGCCGCGATTGCTTTATGACTTGATTCAGCTTTATGCATTGAGAAAATCCCTCACCCTCTTGCCCTTATCACGCTGTGCATTGTCTGTGCTTGGTTCCAGCCATCCTCCGTTACCGAAAGGCCGATGGGAAGATCCACTTGGTGGTTTTCAACGACCTGCAGTTGGCTGACGGGAAGCGGCACCGGATCCTTCTGAGACTGACCAATTTACGGCAGGGGGCTGGCTCCGTAGAGCTCTACGTAGACTGCACGCAAGTGGATTCTGTTCGCAATCTCCCCAGAGCCTTCTCCAGCCTCCCACAGAATCCTGAGTCCGTTGAATTGAGGGTTTTCCAGCGGAGGGCACAGGTGAGAATCAACGGGCCCTTTCTCTAGCATGAAAAGGTGGGTGTGAAGGCTCAGGGAGGTGCTAAGGAAAGTACACTGGCTCTGTTCCTCCCTCTGCTCACGGTGGAACCCGATGGAGTGTGTCTACTTTAAGATGGTGAGTAGAGATTCTTTAAATGCAATTGGAACAACGAAAGGGAAATAACAAAAATTAAAGTTGGGTGATGGAATGAACTATTGTATTGTATAATGAACTATTGTATATTTAATCTTTCTATGATGTTCTTTATTTTTAATGAGAATCATAAAAAGACTAAATGATTAATGAAAAAAGAATGATTGAAAGCTGTCAAGCACGAGGGCAACATTGGCCCCCGGTGTCATGCAAACATCTACTCACAAAAAATGAGACTTCTTGCTAACTTCATTCCATGGGGTCTTAAAAGGTCCCATCCTCTCTGTTATCTGTTTTAGAGTAATTTGGTGGTATCGCTTCCCTTCCATCGTGACACCTCATGTAGAAATTGCCACATACCTTTCTTTCCTTCTTTTAGAATGTTTGGCTAGGGAGTACTTTGTTTCCTTGCATTCTTTCTTCTTTCTAGTGATTGGTCAATCTCACTCTTGGTAAAAATGTTCATCTGTTCTGAGCAGCAGTGCTATGATTGTCATTCTTACTATTCACTCTGCATTCCTCTTTTACTGCTTCGTTGCCTGTGTTTGACTTATAAGTTGTTCTGAGCCCTTTGTACAAAGAGGCAGGGTGTAGGCCATCATTTCCCTTACAACTAAGAAGGACTGAAAAGATTTGGTACTAGTATAAAAGCTATTAGTCCTACCCTAGAATTTTATATTTGGATACATTTTCACTTTTTGTAAAAGAAATTCTAAGAAAGCTAAAAGACTCAGGTTTTTTATTTTGTGTTTGAAGACAATGCATACATGAGGGAGCCTCAAAAACTTTGCGGAGAATGGACTAAAAAGATATGGAAGAATGGAATTTTTTCAGGAACTTTTGAAGCCCCATTATGTGTGTGTGTGTGTAATATATATTATTATATATTATAGATATACATATATCTCTATATCTACCATACACAGATATGTGCATATATGTCTATAGCTTACCAATTATCTCACTATATATTTCACATTTTTAACAATACTAAAAAATCTACTCTATCACTATTGTATGCATTGGCAATCTATACCTAGCAGTCACAAAGGTACCAGGGGAGGGTAACACTAGCTGTGATGGTTAAGGTTATGTGTCAACTTGGGTGGGCCATGCTCCTAGTAGATTGGTAGGCATCCTTCATTTCATGGTCTGTTGTGGTCATCCTCCATTTTCACAAAGCACCAGTTTTAGCTTGGAACTTGGCTGTGACCACATGTGTGTAGTATTTGTTGGGGCTTCAAAAAGTTCATTAAAATATATCATTATTTTAAAATTATTTTTAATGATATAAAAATAGCATTATTTTTTCACTTCACTTTTCCATACGTTTTTTGAAACCTCTATGTACTACAGACATACATATATACATGTGTGTGTAAAAAAATTAATGGTGAGATATGTTAAACTTTATTTCTGAGATCTTAAACTAGCCCAAGTAATCAGAATGACTGCCAGAAACTGTGTCGTGGATCATTTCAGAAATTAGTACAGAAAAAACCTCACTACCATCGAGTGGATGCCAACTCATGATGACCCTATAGGGGTCATTTTTCCTAAGGTAGAACTGCCCCTCTGAGTTCACAAGACTGTAACTCGTTATGGGAGTAAGAAGTCCACTTTCTCTTGCTCAAAGAAAGGCTGGTGGTTTCAAACTGCTGACCTTGTAGTTTGCAGCCCAGTGGGTAACCACTATGGCACCAGGGCTCCTCTAGCCACCATTAAATAACTTCATGGCTAAAAGCCATGCATCAGCTGGCTAATTGGCAAAGACCACTGGAAATAATACTCATTGAAATTTCCTCAAAAGCTCCACCTCCTTATATTATCACCAGGAACTACAGCAGGTCTATTTTCATAGTCACTAACTCAATCATCAATCAGTCCATTGGCCAACAATGCTTTAATAAGAGTAGACTACATATCAGGCAAGGAGCCCTAGTGGGGCAGTGATTAAGCACTCAACTGCTAACCAAAAAGTCAACAACCACTTCCTTGGAGAAAAGATGTGGCAGTCTATTTCCATAGATTTACAGCCTTGGATGCTATAGGGTCACCAGGAGTAGGATTCAATGCAACAGCCATTGATTTGGTTTGGGTTTGGGTTGCTTCAGGCTCATGTTTGGCATTAGGGAGACCACAGGGGCAAACCATGCCTGCCTCCTTAGGTCTTACATTCTGATGCCCAAGGTGATATTTGTTTCAAAGCACATGTTACATATATTTTACCTTAAATGAATTGAGAAATAGAAGTCTTCTGAAAATCCTTAGCATGATCATATCTAAAATAAGAATGATGATTTTATGTCAATAAAAGGTAAACTTTTTCTGTTATGCATGCATTTAATAAGAACAAGTGTACATTGCAAAAGAGAGGGGGTGAAAAACTGATTTTGTGACTGATAATGAATGATTGATATCAATCAATAATGGGCATGTGTGACCCTAACTATAAAATAATGACTGAATATACTATTTATTAGTTCTTGTCATCCAAGAGAAGCCAGAGGTTTATTTTCCTAAGACCTGGAAATATTTTTATTTCCTAAAAATAAACCTGTTTCCAAGTGAGATCAAGATCTTCTTTACTGCGGTCTTCACTCCACAAACAAATTCCAGGGAATTCATAAGACGTGCTTGTCAAGAAATCATTCATTTGCCACGAGGGTAGACAGTCTTCTTCTCGGTCATGTTGATGAATTCTGGGCCAGCACTTTCCTACATTGTTGCCATTTCCATAGTTCTTCTCATCAAAGGTGCTGGTGGGCGCTAGGAAAATGTGAACCCACAAAATTGTGTAAGATGTCAGAGTCCAAATGTGAAGGGCTACCCTATTATGAAAATTTATGCAAAATATGCAAGTCCATTTGCTTTTCCACCGTGTCAGCAGTGTGCGGTATGAATATGATTTCTTCCAGGACTCTTTGGAAGAACTGAAGCTGGTGGTGAGAGGCTCTCTGATCCAGGTGGCTAGCCTGCAAGACTGCTTCCTGCAGCAGAGTGAGCCGCTGGCGACCACCACCACAGGTATGGGGCCAGGGGCAGTCATACATCATCCACCGCAAAAGCTCCAAAGCCCCTAACTGGGCTGGGGGCCTTCACCACAAGGTGGTTGTCTGCAGAGCACGTGAACAGAATGTATTTATAGACTCAGGCTCTTATGGTGGATCGATGGGTGTGTTCATTGTAAAAATATCTCAGCTGTGTTGCTGTATGGGAACTCATAAAACAAATTGTTAGAAAATCTTCAAAATCAGAAAGGTGGGTCATTGTTTCAAAGCCTAGAGCAGAGAATGTTTTCGTGGCACGTGGAGTCTCTGCATGGAGTACACAGTGAAGCACCCAGCTGCTAATTTAAAAGTTGGAGGTTCACATCTATCCAACAGGACCGTAGAGGAAAAAGCTGGCAACCAGTCTCTGGAAAAAATCAGCCCGTGAAAATCTGATGACGCACAGCTCTGCTCTGACATGCAGGGTTTCCATGAGTTGGAATGGACTGACGCTCTGGCAACGGGGTTTATGTGTTCATTGGCACATAATTCACACATCATACAATTCAATTGTTCCATCGTATTAAGAAGAGCTATGCAATCGTCACCACAATCAATGTTAGAACATTTTCTTCTCTCCTGACCTAATTGCTGTTAGCTCCCCATTTCCCCCCTGCCATGCCCCTAGGTAATTCTTAGTCCAGTTACTGTGGCTGTAGATTTACCTTTCTTGGATTGCATATACAGAACATAATACAAAGTGAAAAAATCAAGAAACAAACCAGATAATAAAACCACAACAATGACAAAAATAAAACAAAAATGTCAATAGAAAAATTTGTGTCAACTGGGACAAGTTTGGAATGGATGAAGTGAAAGATCAAATGATAAAGCGATGAGGGTGGCCCTTGAAGCTGACTGCAGCTGCCACGGTGGACTTCACAGTGCTCTCTGTCCGACCACACCCCAGTGGACTTCACAGTGCTCTCTGTCCGACCACACCCCAGTGGACTTCACAGTGCTCTCTGTCCAACCACACCCCAGTGGATTCACAGTGCTCTCTGTCCAACCACACCCCAGTGGACTTCACAGTGCTCTCTGTCCGACCACACCCCAGTGGATTCACAGTGCTCTCTGTCCAACCACACCCCAGTGGACTTCACAGTGCTCTCTGTCCGACCACACCCCAGTGGACTTCACAGTGCTCTCTGTCCGACCACACCCAGGACTGTGTCCGAGGAATTCAGCAGACGCTTAATCTGAGTGGGGACCCTGCACATTTGTATAGTTGGCATGAATTTGAACTAAAGAGCCAGTGGCATTATGATCAGGAATATTACTTTTAAAGTGAATTTGAGCAATGCACCCGAGATAAATTCAGATACCTGAGATTTATTCATAACCGTGTCATGAGGATTCTCTAGGGGAATCATTGAATCTTAAATTATTACAGCAATGCCTGTCGCTAACTGCATGCCCCTTATGTTTTGCTTTTCCTACAGGGGACTTTAATCGACAGTTCTTGGGGCAAATGACACAATTGAACCACCTGCTGGCAGAGGTGAAGGATCTTCTGAGGCAGCAGGTAACGAACAGGGTGCATTGTTGGAAAAGCCCCGGTCTCATCAGAGCAGCCCTTTGTACCAGCTAGCAGGACAGAGCGGCGGGTCCTGGGAGGCAGGAAGAACGTGAGCCTGCCCTCATCCCGATGCTGCCCACACTGCCTGCCCCGGGGCTCTGCCCGAGGGAAACACAATGTGTGATCAACACAACGGCGACCTCCAGCCGACTCTAACAAGTGATCCATAGATAGCTACACACCAATACTCTCATTTCTGGATTATGTGTCACCTGCTTCTTTTCCGCCTTTTTTATTCCCACCCCCACCCCCAATTCCTGAAGGTCAAGGAAACATCGTTATTGCGCAACACCATAGCTGAGTGCCAGGCTTGTGGTAAGTGTTTTCTAATAACTCATTCCGAGTCAGATGAGGGACCCAGGTGGATGAGGGGCCGGGGTGAGGCTGAGTGACTGCAGTTTCAGGTGGGTTTGCAAGGAGCTTCAGGGGAGAGGAGTGCTGTGGGAACATAGTTTTCTTCGGTCGGAGGTATATTTTTGGGTGTGGCTGTAAGTCTAAGGCCTATTGGTTTTCTCTAGGACCTCCTAGCATCCAGTCTCCAGCACCCAACACAGTGGTGCTGCCTGCACCCCCGGCACCTCCGGCTTCTCCCAGGCCCTCTGTGCGCAGGTGTGACTCGAACCCATGCTTCCGAGGCGTCCGATGTACTGACACAAGAGAAGGCTTTCAGTGTGGGCCCTGTCCCATAGGCTACACAGGAAATGGAATCACCTGTTCGGATATTGATGAGGTAAAAGTGAACTTTGACAAATACACGCACTCACTACCATTGAGTTGATTGGAACCATAGCTCATTTCTATAGGGTTTCTGAGCCCGTCAACCTTTCCTGGAGCAGGGTGGTCTCATCTCTTTCCTGCCGAGGGACTAGTGGGTTTGAAGCACTGGCCTTGCAGTTAGCAGTCCAGTGCTCACCCTGCTAATGAATGCCCGTGCCCTACAGCTGATGGGAAAGGAAGCAAAGTTTACAGGGACGGTTTTGAGCAGCTGGTGGGGGTGGGGGTGATGGTGTGAGGTGCCATCAAGTCGATTCCAACTCCCAGCAACGCGATGTCCAACGGAGCAAAACAACGCCTGGTCCTGGGCCAGCCTCCCTCTCCACCACCGCTAGATGGGAGCCCATTGTTGCTGCCCCTGTGTCCATCCACATCGTAGAGCATCGTCCTCGTGTTCATGATGTCCTTCTGCAGGGACTGGGTCCTCCTAATAGCAAATCCCAAGTCTGGGAGCTGGAATCCGGCCAGCCTTGCTTTTAAGGAACGTCTGGCAGCGCTCCCTCCGACACACCTTGGCCTTCCATGATAGAGTCTATATTCTTCACCAGCACCATAATCCAAAGAGACCCATCTTCCTACGGACTCTGTACTCATTGTGCAGCTTTTATGGGCATCGGGGGCCATTGAAAGTACTATGGCCCTGGGTCAGGTGTACCTTAGTCCTCCAAGTGGCATCGTTGCTTTCGAGCACGCTGACGAGGCCTCTTGCAGCAGGTTTGTCCAATGCAGTACATCATTTGGCTGCTTCCATGGGCATTGAATAAAAAACCGGGTACCACAAATAGCTAATAAGCACCCAGAAATATGCACAACATTTCAAGAAACTAAAAGATTCAAATTACAAATAATTAGACATCATTTCTTTGCCTCAAATATTAGAAACGTTTGAAAGACTGACAACAGTTAGTGTTAGAGAAAGTGGTGAGAAGACACTGTTGCATACATTGATGCGATCTTTCTCAAGAGCACCTTGGTACCAGGTACCAAAATCTCACATGTGCATTGCCTTCACCAGTAATTCCATTCCTAGGAGCTTTTAAGGTAAAAATCATAGATGAATACAAACACACACACACAGATGAATGCTGTATATTTATGAATAGATTGCTAATACATGTTATGGTTCATTATGTATGGAGTAATATGCAACCATTAAACCTTACAATGTGGACTCAGATTATTTGTGGCTACAACCCATTGTTGAATAACAAAGCAAATATCAAAAAAGCATGCATGTGCTTTTAGAAATACTGTTTATATAGAAAGAACTCAGCTACAACTTAAATACATCTTTACATTCCAGAGCCAAAAGAAAACATGCACAGCACAATCTCATTTTTTAAAAAGAGGACTGTAAACAGATATTTGGCAAATGTTAGCAACTAAGTTGACAGGTGTGGTCAAAGTTGCTTCTGTGTTGCCTACATTCTTTAACCATAAATATAGATTCGTTTTATAATCAGAAAAAGTTAATTTTTTAAAGCTCAATTTTTATTTAGGAAGTTCAGACCATAAGACAGTTCTCTGTCATTCTCATTAAAGGCCCTGCCATTGCTTTTCCAAATCTGCCACTTTCACAGGGAAGAAATGAGCCAGTCAGGGTGCAGTATAGCACCGATGAAACACACAACTTTCCTCTAGTTCTTTGGTGCTTCCTTCCCCCCACTATCATGACCTCAATCCTCCCTTACAAATAGAATTAGACCAGAACATGCACACTGCTACAGATAAGAGCCCGCAACACAGGGAATCCAGGATAGATAAGCCCCTCAGGGCCAACAATGAGAGTAAAGAAACCAGGATTAGAAGAGGGTCTGAGGAGGAAGGGGGAACCGATCACAAGGACATGAGGATCAACCTGTAACCCCCTCTCAGGGGGACACACAATGGAAAAGTGGGTGAGGGGCGACGGAGGATCATGTAAGATATGAAAATAATAATCTATAACTTATCAAGTGTTAGTGAGGGAGGGAGGGCAGGGGAGGGATGAGGAAGAAATGGGGAGCTGATATATCAGGGGCTCATGTGGGAAGAGAATGCTTTGAAAATGAAAATGCAGCATATGTGCAAATGTGCTTGACACACTGGATGAATGTATGGATTGTGATAAGAGATGTAAGAGCTCCCAATAAAAGTATTTAATAAAAAAGAAGAAGAAAGAAACAGGTCAGAAATGACAGGGATGATGTAAGTAGAAGTTATGAATAATAAAGGAACAATTACAAATCTTACAAAGAACAACACCTGCCCCTTTAATTGCATTGAGGGTGGCACAGGCCACGTGGAGAACAACAAAGAGGATCGGGGAGTGATGCAGAATGTGGAGTTCACACATCCTTAACGGCATAGCTGAGAATTTCACCACATTCTAACAAAAAGAAGTAATTGAGGCTAACCACATAACCAGGCTCTGTCCTTTTTATGGTAACTTGTAACTATATTGTTGTTGTTGCTGTTGTTGTTGTTGTTGGGTGCCATTGAGTCGGCTCTGACCCCTAGCAACACTATGTTGTAAGTATCCATGTGCCTAAAGTAATGCTAAAAAAATTGAAAGTTAGGAACTATTTCCAGAAAGTGGAGTAAAACTCTGGGAAAAAAAATGTTCAAAAGCAACTTTTAAAGAGAACGAACCAAATAAAAGACACGAGGTGACCCTTGCTATGTGGAAGCCCATTGGCGCAGCCACTGCGCTAACCGACTCATTGACGGGCTTCCGCTTTTATTCGGTCCTTTCCAAGTGAGATAGTTTATTGTGCCAACCTGGCCAATAAACACAGTGGGATTAACTGAAGGGCAGAGAGATAAATGGCTTGGTGAGCCTCACCTTTCTTGTCTCTCGCTCTTTGATCATTGGACCAGTGTGTGGCTGCCTTGCTTGTCCTGTGCCTCAATTTAAAGGCTACACTACCGGTGGGACGCCTAGCCTGTGGACTGTGTCGCTGTAAGTTGAGGTCCCTTTAAGAGATCGCTGGAGCTGGGGACTGGCGGTTGGTGACCTGGCTGGCAGTTGGTGACCTGCCTTGTGATTGGCTGCTGTGCTGACATAGCCTAGCTCTCTCTATAAATAGAGGGAGATCTGGCAGGAGACTAGACTTGAAGGACTGCTAGTCTCTCACAACTCTCTCTCACGGGAGTGAGTTGCACTAAGCCATTTGTAGTGCTTTATAATTTAACTGTTTATTTCTTGTATTATATATTTATCTGTATATGATTTAACAGTTCATTTCTTGTTATATATCTAATTCTCTTTATAAATAAATATATTAAATTATCAGCAATTTGGTTTTATCTCTCTAGAGAACCCTGTCTAACACACCAAGCATGATGTCCTTCACCAGGGACTGGCCCGTCCTAATCATCTGTTCAAAGAACGTGACATGAAGTCTTGTCATTCTCGATTCTAAAGAGTATCTCAGCTGTACTTCCTCCAAGTCAGATTGGTTCATTTTTCTGGCCAAACTAAAAAAGAAAATTAAAATCTTCGTGTAGTTCAGTCTCTTAGATGATTTGCTCACCATAGAGATTGACTAAGGATGGTGTAAGGATACAGCCCTGTACTACATCTTTCCTGATGTTAAACCGTGCAATGGCCCCAGGTTCTGTTTGAATGACTACCTATATACAAGTTCTTCATGAACCAGATTAGGTGTTCCAAAATCCCCATTTTTTGCAATGTTATCCCAGTTTGTTATGGCCTACACAGTTGAATGCCTTTACACAGTTAAAAAAAATAGTACAAAATCTTTCTTGTAGTCTCTGCTTTTAGTCAAGATCCATCTGACATCAGAAATTATATCCTACATTCCATGTCCTCTTTTGAATATGACTTCTGCAGTTCCCACTCGATGTACTGCTGCAGCCATCTTTTCATTATCTTTAGGTAAACTTTACTTGTGTGTGGCATTAATGGTGTTGTTCAATAATGTTGCATTCTGTGGAATCACCTATCTTTGAAATGTGCACAAATATGGATCTCTTCCAATTGGTTGGCTAGGTAGCAGCTATCTTCCAAATTCCTTAGCATAGACCAGTGAGTGCTTCCAGTATTGCAATCAGTTTATTGGGACCTTGTAACTAGTACTCTGTCCATTCCTGAAGTCTTGCTATGGACTTCTTCTTTGAGTACTATTGGTTCTTAGTCATACACTACATTGCACTCAACGCTTGAATGTTGCCCAGTTCTTTTTGTACAGTGACTGTGTATTCCTTCCCTTTTCTTTTGATAATCCCTGCAATGTCCAGTATTTGCTTGTAGAATCCTTCAATAGTGAAACTTCAGGCTTGAGTTTTTTTCTTATTTCTTTCAGCTTGAGACATTCTGAGTATGTTACTCCATTTTGGTTTTCTTACTCTTAAGTTTTTGCACATTTCATTTTGTCTTCTTAAATCATCTGGATCTTTTGCCTCCATCATTTTTTCCATGCTCTGTTAGCTACTCCACAGTCAATAGGAAGTTTCAGACTCTGACATCCACTTTGGTCTTTTGGTGTTTTCCAGTGAGCAATGGGAGAAAGGATACATGAACTGAGAGTGGAGAGATCTTTTTTGTCAACTGTTCTATCAGTTCATGTGGAAAAGATGCTAAAAATGTCTGCTCTACACACTCACATCTGCACTGATTATTTCTCTCTGCATTATCTGTTTCACACCTTTGCCATTTCTGTGTCAGATGTGAAAAGGGAAGGAAGCTTTTGGAAGGATATATTTCCAGGGTTAAAAAGGATTTGTTCAATCTTTCTACAATAGAGGAGCAGAAGGGAATCTCAAACCAAGAAGACTGCTTGGGGTGGAGAGGGGTCCATTAACCCTATGAATGACTAAGAGTGCCCAGGCTGGGAACCCTTACAGAGACACATATAGCAAGTGCAGGCTATTTGATTGGCAGGCAGAGCCTTAAAGGGGGACTGTCCCTAAACAAATGGGTTACACCAGTCACCCAGTCAGTCCCAAATAGCCACTACAGCAGGTAGTAAGGCTGCCACAAGAGTGCAGTTTGCCCCTCTCCCCTTGCCCAAAGAATGTTAGAAGTAGACATGGGGGTGAGAGGAGAATGCAGCTAGCTTAGGCACACACTGACACCCACAGGACTCCAGTGGCTCCTGGCAACACTTAACTGATTACTTCTCCTGCTAGTAGGCAATTCAGATGGTCTCTAGCAATCCCTCAATTGGAGAAACATCTGTGCATGCTTCACAGCACTGCATCTGGTTTTTGTCTATGGGCTGGAATTTTCCTCTTTTTGAAAGGTCAGGAAGTGGTCATGTTTTTTACATTAGGTGAGGTTTAAAAAAAAGAAAGACTGTCAAAACCATTCTCCCAGACTTTAGGGCCTTAGACTAGCCATGCACTTCACAGGGCATGAGCACAGTGGTGAATACTGATGAATCACGCTCTATTGAAGGAACGACTCCTGTGCTTTCTTTTCTTGAGGTCTTGTCCTTTGAGGAGTTTGCTCAATAACGACTCTGAATTCACCTAACAGACAGCTTAGCATCTGGTTTGAGAGCACTGTCCTACCACCTAGATTTTAAAATTCATTGGAATATCAAGGAACTTTCTCTGGAGGCAAACTCATCTGTCTCACGATGTGGGCATGTGGGCATGCCATTTTTCTGTTTCTACAGCAAAGCCCACCAGTGACTCAGAATGGGTGGGCCAGGGGTTGAAGGCACAACTTTGGAACTGGAAATGTTTATTCTCGTTTTCTCATCTTTTCCACCAAAATAATAATAATAATCAAGTGGAATAATAGTCATCTGCAAAAGTATGAATAAACGTTTGAGAATGTATTCCCCATGTATTTGAAGACTTTGAATGTTTCCTGTTCTATTTTGGCTTTTCTTCCAGTGTAAATATCATCCCTGCTACCCGGGCGTGCGCTGTGTGAACTTGGCTCCTGGCTTCAGATGTGATGCCTGCCCAGTAGGATTCACAGGGTCAATGGTTCAAGGTGTTGGGATCACTTTTGCCAAGTCCAACAAGCAGGTGCGTTTTTCTCTGCGTTAAAAAAAATCTTAATTACCAACAAAATCCCACTTTTTTCAAGTATAACCTTTGAGATGTTTGTTTTTGTTAATATTGCTCCTGAGCCCTTTCTGAGTGTATATATTCATAAATCTAGGTGGGAGGAAGCTGTTAAATTAAATTGGAATAATAGCATATCACTAGGAAAACTGCGCAAGGGGGAATGCTGAATAGGTAGCATAACTCCAGACTTATTTTGTTGATAGTCATGAAACACTTCACTCTGCAGAATAACTTAAGCATCAGGTAAATAAATAAAAACTTGGCAAAATTAGGTCACTTCTACAGTCATTGCTACCAATTAGAGGCTGTTTCAGAGATGTGAGGATCTCAAGAGTAGAAACCATCTCAGAGGAAATCTGCCCTTATTCTTCTATGAGCTATAAATTGTCATAAAGGGCTTGAGCACTTCATGACAGTCTCCATTTACTTCCAAATGTTCTCCTAGATCCTGGTCACTATTTAACTGACTGACTGGGAAATTCTCTTTGATGCTTTCAGATCTTCAAAAGAGTTGGTGCTAAATATATTTTACTACCTTAGGGAAATTACTCGCTTTGCATGATTTCCTAGTTGCCTCTCAAGCGTATAGAGGACATCCTTTTTTTTGTAATAGAAAAGGAAACAAGCTGGACATATAGGAATGGCAAGAAGTCATTAGAGTAATGACCCAGAGTTCTTCATCTCATCTAAAGACAAAATCTCTGATAGTAGATGAAGAAATAGACAAAATGAAAGAGTACACTGTAAGGTAGTCAAAGCACTTGCCATGGCTTTCCTGCCGTAGGGTTGACTGAACTGAAGTGGAGGAGAACCACCTCACTAAAATTGAATAGCACATTGTAATGCATTACCAAGACCCAAAGAAGTGAAAGGAACCCCGTAGAAACTCAAAGAAGAAATACAAACTCAAAGCTGTGGGGGGAAGCCGATCTTACAACAGCTCGTGAGAGGTGGGAGCTGAATGCAGATCCTGTGATGGGGAGTGGGGATTTTAACACTTTTGTGGATACAGAAGTTGTAGTCCTGAATTTGTAGAAAGACCTGACACCCCTGTGTACAATGAGGAGCCACAATCCACAGAAGGTCACCCAAATGCAGATTCAGAGATACGAAACAATAATAATCATAGTAAGGATTGGAGGTTACAGGGACTGGGGAGAGGGGATTCTGAATGTTTATTATTGCCTAATGAGCAGTTTCTGTTTGAAGGAATGGGAGTTTTGGAAATAGACAATGGTGATGGTTGCACGTATTGTGAGTGCAGTTAATACTACTGAATTACACATTTTAAATGATTAAAGTGCCAAGTTTGTGTTATATATAGCCTATATCTATATATATGTATATTTAACTCTCTATTCATTAAAACAAAACTAGAACAGCTTTACCAGCCCTAAGAAACCAGTAAATTTGACTTCAGCTTTGGGACATGGTTGACAAAAATGGAAATGGCCCACAGTAAATGAAAACTTCAAGGCTGCACTACAAAAAGTTGTAAGATTCAAATGTATGTTATACATGAGATGCAGAAGAAGCACCAGCTGACATACGAACTCAAAACCATCCCTGGGGTAGCAAAATCCCTAGGGTTCTAGCTAAAGCTAAAGCTTGACCAGTGTGGGAGGACACTTTAAAATGCAGAGGGGTGCACCAGACTGGACCGAAAAACACTCCTAAAGGTCAACAAACAGACCTTGAACTATTTACAGGCTTTTTTGTTGTTGTTGATGATGATGATGTTTTGTTTTCTTTTGTCCCTCTGTTTTGCTCTGTCTTTGTGCATACTATTATCTCTGCAGGTCTATCGAGATGAGGTAGGTGGGATAAGCAATCTGGAGGAGAAAACAACAGGACTGATGGTTCTGGAGAGACATGGAGAAGGGGAGGTGGGGAAAAGGAAGTGGGTGTTAACAAACCCAGGGACAAGGGAACAAGTGATCAGAAATTGGTGACCATGAGGGTGTAGGAGGCCTGGTAGGGC